AACAGTATCACATACTCAGGATCAGATAGTCGTGATCATGAACCAATCAACATAATTGCATCACGAATCACATCAAATCAGAACTCATAGTTGACAATGTTGGGGCTCATTATCATCAACGAAGAAGAATCCGGGTTGATATCCTATCTGGCGCTCGGCGCCCAGACTACACGTGGCATATCCTATACTACAACGTTGGTGATGATGTCAACAGTTCCCCGAAGTACATGCAGATCTTGGCCAATGCCGATTGCCTCAAATACCAGGTATGCCTCCCGTATCACTCACTCATAACCATTGATCCCTCACTCACAGATGCCACTTGCACCCTCATCGGCAGATCGCCAAGATCACCGCAACCCTGACACTTCTCTGGACCATTCAATCAATAGGAGTGACGGTCGGTGCGTACAAAGGGCAGGGACGTAATCAGTACGAACTGATGACTCGTGCTTACTTGGCTTTCCTCGTTCAATATCGATAATTACAACAATCTATACCCGACATGATGAGCCTTAGGAAGGTTACCCGGACCTTTCAACCCAAGCAATCGACTCGTTGGATTCATTGGTGTAGTGTGTGTTCAGCTCAGGTACGTAACACTCCCTATACATACACAACCGAGTCCGCAATCATGACCAAATAATAATAATAATAATAATAATAATAATAATAGTAAATAATAATTAAAGAAAGCTAATGTATACTAGTCATCTTCTCGGTTAGATACGGTCATGTGATAAGTATCTACGGCTCCACTCACTCATACACACACACACACACACTCACACACGCGCACATACACATGTGTAGTACGTATATTTTCATGCCCTGGCGGAAGATTCATTCAAATTTTGTTCATCTATCGATGCAAGTGTCGCGCGGTGAGCCGCGGGCTGAAGACTTGGCTGTTGGCCAAGGTTGGAGGCTTTATAGTCTCTCTCTCTCTCTCACCTTGGTCGAATCATGAATGCCTCACACACACACATCCCATCGATTAGGACGAGCAAAACGGAATGAATCTTCCACTGAAAACGTGTCATCTTTTGATTTGCTCGTTCTATCAATCCAAGGTAGCGTGGGGCAAGGAGCGGGTAGGAGACTTATAGGCTCTCTCTCTTTCTCCCTCCTTCTCTTCTTCCTTGATTTCCATCTCTCCTTCTCCATCTTCTTTCTCTCTCTCTCCTCCTCCATCTCCTCCTCTCTTTCTCCCACACATGAGCACCCCCGTCGCCTACTGTATTGGTGCAGATCGGATCGAGAACCAACCCCTCGCACAAAGTACGAGACAGCGTAGTGGATAACTTAGGTACCGATGATCCGAGCAATCATTATTGCAATGCAGCTTCGAACATACATCATCATCATCATTCCATGGCGTAAAGGGGTCTGGCGCCTTACACAGGAAGACTGCGCCAGCCCCGACCATACCAGACGAGGAAGAGGGAGGTTAGACGAAGACGAGGGGAAGATGGGAATGCCGTCAACATCAAGTCTTCGGCACAGGCCCAAATAGTTACTCGTCAAAATGTTTGAATCCCAATGTCTCGTCCGGATCCGCTGTCGCCTAGTCTCATGTCACAACTCTCTCTCTCTCTCTATCGTAGTCTGCTGATTCTGAGAAGTCAGGCGATGAGAGGGTGAGAAGAGGAAAATGGACTGAGAGTATTGGTTTTATTTATTTATTCAATCTTATTATTATTACTTATTATATTATTATTATTATCTTTATTCTATTTGATGGGAGTATCGGGATTGGTTGCGTGGGACGAGACTTACCCGTTATTTTCTTCCGCTCCTCGTCGTTGTCACCGTCGTCGTCAGGGTCACCGTCGTTGTCAGCCCCCTTTGTTGCTATGCCTTGGTCATGTAAGTATTCCCTCTCCGCTTCTCCCTTTTCTTCTCTCCCTTTTCTCTCTCTCCCCCTTCTTTTCGTGTGTCTCCACTCTCCTTTTCTATCATACACGTCGCCTGTCTTCGCCTGGTTTGTCGTTGCCACCGTGGCTGGCTTATTGAATCAGGTAAGTCTTCTTCCCCTCTTCTTTCTCTTTCCTTCTTCGACTTTTCTTCTTCTTCTTCTTTCGTGCGAGTACCTTCTCCTTTCTCCGTGTTTCCCCTTCTCTCTCTCTCTCGGTTCTCTCCTCCTTGCGAGTGGTCTTTCCTAGTCCTCTCGTGGTTCTCCCTTCGCCTTTCTGCGCTCTTCACCGGCTATCGCGCGGTCGATTCCCGATCTCGCCTCAGCGTGATCTCGCGGTGGCTTGTCCTCTCCTTGACAAAGGGCCCCTGTGCTATAGGCAGATGCCTTCACGGTAGAGACTATCGGCCTCTATCCTTCCCTTGGCTGAATCAGCCCAGGTTTTGGGTGTAGGTCCACTAAACGAATCTGAAAATTAACAGTTGCGGGAAAAGAGAAACAAAAGGAAGTGAATCTACTTCTTAGATAATAATAATAAAAAAGTAAAATAAAAGTACGAACGAATCTAACTACTAAACGTAGTATCTCGTTTCAACGAGACAACTACCTTATCTAACCTTGCTAAAGAGGTCGCGAGTTCGAGTCCCGACCGTTCAAACCCCAGGCAAAACGAAAGTAGAGCTCCCTATCAAAAGGGAGCTAGCTCGGAGGGTGGCGGGCCTTGATCCCCGGATCCCCCGCATATCAATCCTGTACTGAAACCTACTGAGCTAGCTCCCACTTTGAGCACAAAGGGAATAACTCTAGTATTAATAAAGTAACGTGGCCCAGCCCAACCAATGGCATGAGCCCACTCTAGCCAGCGCTAGCGTGCACTGCGTGCCTATCTGAATGCCCGCCGCCTTGGGCGCATGCGTGGCCCGCAAGGGCACGTATTTTCATCGAAAGGCCCGAAGGGCCGGTACTTAGCCGTGGCCGCGGCATCAAGGGTCGCAGCAGGGTAATTACTTCAAGTGGCGGGTAGGCTGGCACCACACCAAGTAGAAGTAGATGTGGCGGATACTCGACCCGGAGGCTGAGTAGGGGAAGACAATAGACTGAAAATTTTAGAACACCCAGTACCGGAGGGAAGACAGGCACTCGACCAATTCTCAGTGCGTGTTATAGACCTACCTGACACAATCATCAGCCCATCTGACCCTTCGACCTCTTCTGTCGAGGGGTATTACTACTGATCCAAATCACCACGGTGCGCATCATAATAACGCGCGCACATACGAAATTCTCTCACCGATTTTTGCCCCGGCCTTAGTGGCCGAGGAATTTTGCTCCCAGTGTCACGCCAAGCGTGCACACCCCATCTCGTTCCAGACTAGCTACGTCATGGTAGCTGACGCCGCCACCGTGCTTAATGCAAATACATGGCAAAATACCCTTGTAAGGGTATTTTGTCCGACAACGCGGCCTACCGGGTCCCACATCTGAAACGACAAATCGGGGTGGGACCCGGTTGGCAGCAAAAAAACGGTCGCGCAAGAAAACAGTTTCTAAGTGGCGGGGGGACCGGCGGTTTAACCAGTTCCAAATACATGTGGTGGCAGGGCAGTCCCACCAGAGATGAATGAACAATTCAAAAGCCCATTCACAGGGAGGGCATTTCCAGGGCATTTCATGTCAGTTCTCATTCCTCTTTCAGCAAGCCAAACAGCTGATGGGGTGGAGACTAGAGAGACCAGCCACTACAGTGAAGCATGTCTTTGGTTAGGGAGAAGCTTGAGCTGTTCCCACGTAAGGGCCGCATAAATATCAGCTGACTCAGACTGTAGGAGCTGGGTCCAGCGGGCCCGGGCCCGGGCCACTACTCGTGGGTGTTTAAAGGCTGATTGATTCCATAGCCAATTTTAATCGTGTACTCAGCCAGAGTGGCATTGGTACCCCTGTTACCCTGAATAGTCCACTCCCCTGATGGCCGAAGACTTGTCCTCTTCTCCCTCTTTGCCTACGGTTTACCGGGCAGCAAAAGAAAAAAAAAAAAGAAAAAAAAAGAAAAAAAAGAAGAAGAGAAAAAAATGAATTTGAGAGGAAAAACTGATGAGGAAAGGATCCGGGAAGAAAAGGAGAAAAAGGAGAAAAGAAGGGAAAGGAGAAAATAAGGGAAAGGAGAAAAGAAGGGAAACTCCTCAGCAAAGAGAATTGTTACAAACAGTACACGCATTATATTCAGCCTCCTGATGAGTCGGTGAAACTCCGACGAAACAGTTTGTCACAGCCCCTCGTTTGTTGTCCTCTTCTCTCTCTCTGCCTACGGTTTACCGGGCAGTTCTGTTTGTGACGATATATATATACTACCGTGCTGACGAAATGTACCGAAGCTCTATTTTGCGGTCAGGTTCATTCGAAATGGCGACAATGTGAGATCTTCGGGACTCCCTCAAATCAAAGAGGAAGTCCTCGGAAAAGCCGTGGATCGGGAAGTTCGCAAAAGCTGGCATCAATTTCTCATTGAGGAGAGACAGCATCGATGTCGATTGAGGATATATATATATATATATTACCGTGCCGACGAAATGTACCGAAGCTCTACTTTGCGGTCAGGTTCATTCGAAATGGCGACTATGTGAGATCTTCGGGAGTCCCTCAAATCAAAGAGGAAGTCCTCGGAAGTGCCGTGGATCGGGAAGTTCGCAAAAGCTGGCATCAATTTCTAATTGAGGAGAGACAGCATCGATGACGGTTGAGGAGGGACGGTAATGGCGGGATGTCCAAAGCGGCGTAAACGCAAGGGGGTAGAGTAGCAGGTCCGTATGACCTCCAAACGTTGGCATGGAAAAAGCGTAAGCGGAGTGGGGAGAAGATTGCTGACGTTGGGGGGCAGGCCAGGACGGCGACACGTGGCGAGACGTGGGGAGACTCGGCGCGCAGGGGAGTGGGGAGAAGATTGCTGACGTTGGGGGGCAGGCCAGGACGGCGACACGTGGCGAGACGTGGGAAGACTCGGCGCGCAGGGGAGTGGGAGAAGATTGCTGACGTTGGGGGGCAGGCCAGCACGGCGACACGTGGCGAGACGTGGGGAGACTCGGCGCGTAGCAGCAGAAGGTGGGCAACATGTTGCGCGCGCAAGGAAAAAGTCGTTATCGGAGTGGGAAGAGGATCGCTGACATGTGGACAGCCGAGGACGGTGACACGTGAAGAGATGTGGGAAGACTTGGCGCGCAGCAGCAGAAGGTGGACGGCATGCTGTGCGCGTGATGCCGACTCTGCGGCATGGAAAAAGTCGTAAGCGGAGTGGGGAGAGGATCGCTGGACGTGACACGTGGCGACCCGTGGCGCGCGGCATTGCGAGCTGGATTCCAACTCAGCAGCAGGGAAAATGTGTGAGGGGAGTGGGAAGAGGATCATGGGAAAAGCAGATCGGACAACGTTACGCAGGCAAAACGGGACTGCAGGTGGTTGTCGGGATGAGGGAGCAGCGAGACTGCATATGGTCGGGATAAGGTAGCAAACAGTGAGATGAATGTGGCAGGGATAAGGTAACAGTGTTTGAGGAGGTGGATTTCCCATATGCCAATCAGCATCAGCGAGGGGGGGACAAAACCGGGGGCGGGGGGGAGAGAGGCGGGGGGGGGGGGGGGGGAAAGGGATAGGATGCAAGCGGGGTGAAAGGACACGTGGCGCGCGTGATGGCGATCCGCGCATTGACGGGAGTTCAGCAGGCTTCTTCTTCTTCTTCTTCCCCCTCCTCCTCCTCCTCGTCTTCCCCCGGTTCGTTGGTGTGTGCGCCAACTCTGTTCTCTCCCACGTCATCGTCGATTACCTTTTCGACGCCATCGCCAATTTCTCCGTCTGCGCAACCGACAGACAATACTCCTCCTCCTCCTCCCCTGCCTGGTTCTTCTGGGGTTGATCAAGTTGCCGGCGTGTCCCGACGGTTGGATTTTCAATCAGCGGGATCTGGACGAAGTGGTAGCGTTGCTGGCATTCGTGCAGGAGAAGGCGCCTTGTCTTCCGCCATCGTACCACCAGGCGGCACGTCCTCGTTGCACTCTTCCTCTTCCTCCTATTTTTCGACCACCTCTGGAGGGGTAGCCTCCACGTCAGCAAAATTGGCCTCGATACATCTCTCTCCCACGTCTCCTCCGTCCGTGGCCTCCGCGAGGTACCAGACGACGGCTGGCACTTCTCGACCTAATTGCCCTCACAGCGGTGCGGGGGATGGCTCTGCGAAAGCAACTACGCGCGAGGGAGGTTGCGACTGCGAGTCGTCAACCTCATCTGGGCGTTCCACGTCAGCATCGCGGTCGCAGACGTTGGGATCGGCTCTGGACGCCGCCCACAATCTCGTTGGAGGAAGAAGCGGTTCCTCGTCCCTGGCTATGGCGGAAGGGCTCGCCTCCTTGTTGGGCCCAATCGTGAGAGAGTTCGACGCAAATGCGCAAAGTGCCATGCGAAGTCAGGAGAGATTGACGGTCAACATTGGCCGCTTGACCGCCGGTAGGCCTGCCTTTTGTATCGCCGGGATCGCCTCTCCTCTCCTCTCCTCGCCTCGCCTCGCCTTTCCTTTCCTTTCCTTTCCTATCCTCTCTTTTTTCTATCCTGTCCTCTTTTCAATTATCCCGTCTCTCCCCTCTTCTTCCCTCTCCCCTCCCTTCTTCCCTCTCCCCTCCCTTCTTCCCTCTCGTAATTATCTGGTCTAACTTCCGTCTCTTCTTTTCGTATAGGCGGTTGCAATATTCACTTTGTTCGTCGATTACGTTGTGCGATCGTTTTTTTTTTTTTTTTTGACAGTGTGCTATCGTGATCTACGGGCGAAAATAGCATTTGTTCTTGAGAGTCGTGGGTGGCTGAAATGATGCCCAATTGATGCACTATCTCCAATCTCCTCTCCCCTCCTCCCTTCTCCCTCCTCTATGGCATCCGTCGCCGGCGGGGTCCTTTCTCGTCATCCTCTCCGACTTGCCCGGTCGATCTGCCTTGTGTTCATTCTCTCGACCCTCTTCTCCCTGCCTTCCTTACGACTTTGATCTCTCAACCTCTCGCTTGTGATGAGCAATCAATCAACTCCAGCTCTCACAGATTTCTCGCGGTCCTTGCTGCTTTTCGGTCTCGATCGTTGTTTGCCCCCTCCCCCCGACCCAACGCATACACGCACAGCGATTTCTGTTTTTTTTTTCGCTTTTGCGCTGTGATATCTTTGTGACGACATATATATTCGGATCTGCGGGCAGACCTACCAAATTCTTGTGGTTTGACAGCCACAAATGTCTGCCTACAGGCTTATCAGCGTCGACGTTATAGTGCATCCCAATTTCTTACGATTGCGTATCAGCTTGACGCTGTTGAAAATCAGTTGTTGCTTGACCATAATAGTCCACCTGCAGAAGGTAGTAACTATACT